GGATTGGTAGGACTAGGTGTGGTTATTGATGATGATCCATCCAATATTGTATCAACTTCAAGATCATCAATAGTTATATATTAGGATTGTTCCCAGTAAAATTGTAATGAGTAGATGAATCGTTAATATTGCTGTCCTTAACTATAACTTTATGATACTTTATACATTGTCAGTTCTGTTGATTAGAATGAACTAAAAATTACAAAAGAATATACACTATATACCCATGACATTATAATGAAAGACAGAGAGAGAGAATACAAGATAGAGTTAATCGTTTCACAATACATTATGCTAAAGTATGTCCATTCTATACTACTGGAGACAGGGAGGATTGATGTCTTTGTGTTGGTTTCAAGGTTTTGGTTTTGGTGGTATTGGAGGAGGAATATCCAGACCACCTAACCTATCCATGATCAGCTCTTAAGTAGCGGACTTCCTCTGGAGGAGAGGGAGAGAGAGGGAGGGGGAGAGAGATAAAGGGTGTGTCACTCCATACAGTATAATGTGTATTGGCTTACCTTTCCATTGACTGCTGCATGGACTACTCTTTCCTCAGTGGGTGGTTTATTCTTTGGTGTTCTCTTACCAGCTGCTATTGATAGATCAGCATACAATACTTTATGAGGAGCAGCTGGAGGAGGAATGGGAGGAGGAACAGACTAGGAGGAGAGAGAGAGGATGTATAAGATACCATTACATGTACATGTACATTATCATTACTTTGTTGTTAACTGATGCATATACCACTGGTTGTTCTTGTGTTGGTGCTGCCTGTGGTCTCTTCCCTTTAGCAGCAATAGCCAGATCAGCATACACTGGCTTATGAGCTGATTCATCAACTAACACCTATTGAATATAACAACATGAACCTTAATTACTAATGTACATACCTTATGTACTAATATACCTTATACTAATGTACATACCTATACTAATGCATTTACATGTACTTATGGTATGTGTGTATTAGTTACTATAAGGTGGTACATCAGATTACATAAGAATAAGTTCACCTTATTACATTAAAAGCTAAAAGGATACACTCAATTCACCCAATACCCCTCTTCCCTTCCTTTATATGATACAATACATTATGTACATGTAGTTCATTAAACCCAATACATTACGTACAAGTAGTTCATTAAACCCAATACATTATGTACATGTAGTTCATTAAACCCAATACATTTTGTACATGTAGTTCATTAAACCCGATACATTATGTACATGTAGTTCATTAAACCCAATACATTATGTACATGTAGTTCATTATACCCAATACATTATGTACATGTAGTTCATTAAACCCAATACATTATGTACATGTAGTTCATTAAACCCAATACATTATGTACATGTAGTTCATTAAACCCAATACATTATGTACATGTAGTTCATTAAACCCAACACATTATGTACAGTACATGATGATTAATACATGTACAGTGTACAAAAATACATATACAATATACATAATACATGTTATATGTATGAGTGTCTGAGTTAAAAATAGACAGATAAATAATAGAACATAATAGTATATAGTGC